CCCCCCTCACCTGCCCCCAGGACTAGCACCGTTTCGGGGTTGAGTGGGCATCGCGGGCTCATGGCCTTCACCCGTCGGCTGCTCTCCAGGTCCTGCCAACAGAGGTTTGGGAGGGAAGGAAAGAAGAGAGCGTGAGAGGCGCCTCGCAGCGCGTCGATCCAGGGGGAGAACTGGACCTCTGCCTCTGCGCCTTGGGGGGCAGACGCCCCACCCCCATACGCACCTTCAGCCCTGCCGTAACATACACCTGTCCGCCGTCCACTGTCACCTGCAAAAAAGGGCCAGGAGGGTCAGCTGGGGGACCAGTTTGTGGAGGGGCAGGAGTGGAGGAAGGACAGCACTCTCTGCCGCCCCCCCCTTGGAAGCAGGTTCACCAGAGGCTGCCTCCCCCCACCCCCACGCCCCATATGAGACAATGAAGAAAGAGACAGCCTTGTGGGCAGCCAGCATCTTACAGGCGGCGGAACAGAAAAGGCAGGTGACAACAGGAGGAGCGAGATCTGCGCGTGGGGGGGGGGGGGATGGATGGAAGGGGCCCCTCCCTTCTCGTGCGCAGACCCGCCCTCTGCTCCCAGCCAAGGAGGGCCCCGTCTAGTCTGCTTGAGCTCGAGGTGTCGCTGGGAGGGCCCAGGAAAGGCGGCCGGTTCGGGGTGTCTGTGTGCGCGCATGCCAGAGGCAAGCCTGGGGAAAGAGCTTGGGGCTCGTGGAGGGGCAGGAAGAGGGCGGGCGACGGAGGAAGAACAGGCAGCACCTCAAAGCGCAGAGTGGCCAAAGGGAATCGGCTGACCAGCACGAACCTTGAAAGCGGGCAGGCAGTCCAGGGTGGGGTACTCCTCAATGTCCCCCGTCCGGGTGCTGAAGCAGGCCCCGTGCCAAGGGCAACGCAGGCGGCCCTGCGCCAAGTACCCTGGAGGCCGGGGGGGGGGGGGGAGAGAGAGAGAGAAGACAAAGACGTGGCTGGAAGGAGACACACCCACTCACCTGGGACCCCCAGTCGGGGGGGGGGTCCCACTGGGAGCTTTTCCAGGGAGGGCATGCAGATTGCAAAGGAGGGGGCGAGGATCGCCTCCCCCCCCCGCACCCCCGGCGCTTCCATCAGTGGGCACACACGGCCGCTCCCCAGCCAGTCCCAGCCCATGCGGCCACAGGCAAAGGGGTGGGGTGGGGTGGGGGTGGGGGGGTCACCCCCAGGCCTCCCTCCTTACCTTTGGAGAGGGGGGCTCCGGCGTGGGGGCACCTGCTCCCCAGGGCCCGGAACTGGAGGCACTCCCTCAGCAGCAGCACCGAGTGGCCAGCGACCTCCACCTCCCGCATCCTGCCAGCAGGAAAGCCCGGGTGGGTGGTTGGGTGGGGAGGGGAAGGAAGGTGGTCCCCTCCCAGGTGCCTCCCTTGGAACAGCCAAGGAGGAAGGCCGGGTGGGTCAGGCAGGCTGGGCTTCCAAGCAGGTCCAAAGGGGGGCAAGGAAGGGACTCCCTCCCTCCCTCCTCTTCCCCCCCCCATTGCAAAGCTGCCCTCCACGGTGGGCATCCCAGCAGAGCCCAGAGCCCGGCCCGCCTTGCTAGGTGAGGCCGGAGGCAGGGCCTGGTCAGACGTGTGCGCACACACACACGGAAGGAGAGAGGAAGGGGTGGGTGCTGCCCCTGCTCCTAGTGGGGGGGCGCCCCCCCTCCGCTACTCACTCGCCTTCGCCCATCTCATCTTCTCTGCACACCTGCTGGGTGACCAGGGTGCCGCCACCCCCTCCAGCAGCTTCTCGGCGCCCTCCGCTGTCTGCCATGCTTCTTGGCTGGGGGTCCAGAAGAGACAAGGGGGGGGAGTTCATTAGGGAGCAGCACTGGGAGGAACCACACACACACACCCGCCGCCCACACAGAGGGGGCCAGGCCAGGCTGTGGGTCCCCCAGCCCTCCAAGCAGGTAGCAGAGGAGGGAGGGGGGAGGCACAGGGAGGGTCCATGGCAGTTGCAGGGAGGAAGCTGAGGCATTGGCGGGGGGGGCAGTTCTTTCCAGCAGGCCCCTCTCTCTGCTCCCAGCTGCCTGGGTCAGAGAGGGAGGGGGCAGGCTGTCTTCTCCTCCCCCCCACCCCCAATATCAGGCCTTGGCTAAAGAGAGGAGGATCCAGGCTCCTTGCCAGGTCTCTTCCCTTGAAACCAGGGAAACGTCCCAGTTGGCGGTGGGGGGGGAGGAGAGGAGGCCGGAGCCAGGGCTGCCTTCCCTTCCCTGGGGAGACATCCTCTGATGCAAGGACACCTGGCGGTGGGGGGGGGGCTGAGCCACCTGAGGAGCCCACAGGAAATTGCTGACAACCAACCCCCCCGCGGGCGCCTGGCGCTCCCAGGTGCTGCGAGGCCGCCGGATCCCTGTCTTCAGCAGAGTTAGCAGGTTCGCTTGTTGCTGGTCTTGTGACTGGTGCGCCTTCCCCCCCCCTCGGGCGGTTTTCCCAGGTGGGAGAGGCAGCTTTTTAAGGGCAGCGGGTGTGTG